GAATGACCTCAAGGTTTGGTGAAAACGGAGGATTTTGTCAAGCGGTCAACGCCGTCGGCACAAAACGGGGAAAATAAAAGCAAACAAACGAGGACAACCCTGCAAAATGAGGAGTATTTCTTTTTTTAATGGGTCACTGTGGTAAGAATAGTGATGCAGATGCAGCACAGTGAACAAAACCTGCATAGATCCCAGTGAGATGTGATAATCCCAACACTCCGACCACAGATAATCTAGATTTCACAGGCCTTCATAGTTTAGTACAGACTTTAGTTCAGTATAAAAAATCAGTGTGATGTGAAAACAAAGGTGAAGTGTTTTACGTGTGCGTTTAGGGCCAGTGGGCAGAAGCTATGGTTGTTGTGAGCTCTATAGAGACAGATTAATCTGTAAACAAGCCACTGATTTAACAGATTCTGGCAAAAGGAGGAACTGGTGTAAAATAAAAAAACGTGATTTACAAATCTCACAAACCTGTTCTGTAGTCACAGTGAAACATAGCAAACATGAAATGTTGAAACTAAGAAATTAATCAACTTTATTTAGGGGATAAAATTAACTTAGAATTTTATGGAAGCAACACATTTCATAAAAAGCTGTTCAGAGTCTGTGTTTACCTTTTTTGAAGCATCTCTTATTTTAACGATCTGTAAATGTTGAGGAACTGAGACCAGTTCTTGGAGTTTTTGGAGGAGAACTTTGTCTCATTCTTATCCGGTTCTAGTTGTTCAACAGTCCTCGCTCTTCTTTGCTGGATTAGTCATTTCATGATGCACAAATGTTTTCAATTGATTTAGACTGGCCACTTCAGCACCCAGTTTCTTCTACTATGAAGCCACGATGTTGTAATGGATCCAGTTTAGCACTGAAAGTTTAGTCAAGCAAGGCTGTTCATGTCAGAAGTAATCATCTGGATTGAAGCATGTGTTCTAAATTCTGTAGAAACTTTTCCGCATTGATGGAGCCTTTCCAAACATGTAAGCTGCCCATGACATAGGTACTAATGCACCCTCATACCAACAGAGAGGCAAGCTTTTGAACTGTGCGCTGATAACAAGACAGATGGTTCCTCTCTTCTATAGTACAGACGGGGCATCCATGGTTTTCAACAGATCAGTTTTCCACTTTATTTCAGTTCACCTCAGCCTTTCTAGATGGTCCAACAATTTTCAGTCAGGTCATCTGGACAGTTTCTTTTTTTTGCTGAAACGTTTCACCTTCCATCCAGAAGGCTTCATCAGTCAAGGAAACACGCAACACAAAACAGATTCTTCCCCCAAACAGCTTACTCCAAAGTGGAACAAACCAGTTATGTTGGTGCCTTGACTGATGAAGCCTTCCGGATGGAAGGTGAAACGTTTCAGCAAAATAAAGAAACTGTCCAGATGACCTGACTGAAAATTGTTGGATTGTATACCTGGATTATTGAGCATGGACTTTGTTGGTTTTGAACCAGTTTGACATGACTGTGGACAAGGAAGTGGGCTGGCACAAGAGGAGGGGGCGTGCCAAAGACATCATCTTAGCACCAACATAACTGGTTTGTTCCACTTTGGAGTAAGCTGTTGGGGGAAGAATCAGTTTTGTGTTGCGTTTCCTCCACTGATGAAGCATTCTGGATGGAAGGTGAAACGTTTCAGAAAAAAAAAAAAGGAAACTGTCCAGATGACCTGACTGAAAATTGTTGGATTGTATACCTGGATTATTGAGCATGGACCTTTTTGGCTTTCTAGATGGTATTCATATATAACCATACCATACCATACCATACCATGCCACTTTATTTATAAAGCACTTAAAACAGCAACAAGGCCAACCAAAGTGCTGTACAGCAAAAACAAAACTACCAAAGGACATAGCAAAAATACATAGATCCACAGAGGTAAAGATAAGAACTAAATGACTAACAATATAGAATACAGGTATTTAAATCAATTCACACAGTGTCAAAAGCCAGAGAATAAAAGTGAGTCTTAGATAAAAACAGTAAGCGGGGAAGCCTGCCTGACATGCAGTGGTAGCTCATTCCACAGTTTTGGACCTGCAACAAAGAAACTCCTGTCACCTCTGAGCTTAAAACGAGTACCTGGAACCAATAAAAGCATCCGGTCTGCTGACCTCAGAGAGCACTGTAGGATATATGGCTGCAGCAGATCAGTGAGATAGGAGAAGGCAGAACCATTCAGAGATTTTAAAATGAATTTGAAGATGAACCGGGAGCCAGTGAAGGGAGGCCAGAACTGGTGTAATGTGCTTTCTTTGGTCTGTACCAGTTAAAAACTGGGCTGCAGCATTTTGTTGTAACCATGCAGTAGAGGTCTATATAGGGGGCCGAGATGGGGTAGAGGCAGGGCAGCTGACTGGGGACCCAAAAGTCCCAGGCTCGATCCCCTGCCATTGCACATCTCGTGGTGTGTCTGAGCAGCACACCCTATCCCCAACTGCTCCCCGGGTTCCTTCAATGCACTGCACCACCTGGGGGTCCATCCATCCATCCATTATCTTTACCCGCTTATTCCATTTTGGGTCACGGGGGTCGCTGGTGCCCATGTCCAGCAATCACTGTGCGAGGGGCGGGGTACACCCTGGACAGGTCGCAAGTCCATCACAGGGCCACATAGAGACAAACGAGACAAACAACCATTCACTCTCTCACTCACACCTAGGGACAATTTAGAGTTACCAATCAGCCTAACATGCATGTTTTTGGTCTGTGGGAGGAAACCGGAGTACCCGGAGAAAACCCACGCATGCACGGGGAGAACATGCAAGCTCCACCCAGAAGGCACCTGGACCGGGGTTTGAACCAGGGACCTGTTTGCTGAGAGGCAGCAGCTCTACCAGTTGCGCCACCGTGCTGCCCACCTGGGGGTGGATGGGTTAAATGCAGAGAGATAATTTCACCATTGTATGGGGACATACAATGATGACAATACATACACATTATTAATATTATTATAATATGATGTCTTGCATGATTGAGCTTTAAGCAGCATTTGTGGATGGCATGGTAAACGGTCCTGATGCATGCTCAGTAATCCAGGTAAATAATTCTAACAATGTTAAGTCAGATCCTCTGGACGGATTCTTTGTTGAAACATTTAGTCTTTTATCTAAAAGACTTCTTCAGTCTGTATGGTAAATGTGTTTACAGATGGTGATTTGTGGGCATGTTCCTGAGCTCATGCAGTGAAGTCCAGAACAGAATCAGACCTGTTCTTGATGCAGCAAGGCCTAAGGGCCCAAAGATCACGAGCATTTAATGACTTTCAGCCTTGTTGTTAGAGCTCAGAGATTCTTCAAATCTTATTATGACTTTATGAGCAGTAGATGGTGAAATATTTAGCATATATCTACTTTCCTTTGAGGAACATTATTCTGCAGACTGGTGAACCTCTGCCCATCTTTACTTCTTAGGGAGTCAGCCTGTTTAAAATGCTCTTTTTATACCCAGTTCTTTTACTGAGCTGTCGCTAATGAATCATCTTCTTTACAAAATGTTTAATGATACGTATAAAAAAACCTGCAGTTTTTTGCCCTTGTCCCAACTTTTTAACATGTGTTGCTGTTATCATGTTTAAATTTACCACTTTTTAATAGTACTTTTTTCAGTGGTAGTTACGGTAGTCCCTCATTTATCGCCGGGCTTAGGAGAAACCGCGAAGGAGGGATACAGTAGTCCAAGTTTACGTAAACTTTATTGTCATTACCATCTCATGGGGTGCATGAGATGGAACAAAATTATGTACACAAGTAGTAGTAAGTAGTAGTTCATTTTAGCATTTACTGTTGCGATAAACAAGAAATCAATTAACCGCGTGATAAATTAAAATTATCGACCTCATTTTCATTTATCGTCTTTATCGTTTCTTCGTGTCTCTCTCTTTCTACTGAAGACACTGGATGACAAACTCTCCAGTGCTCTTCACTGACCTCTCCCTTTTTCTTTTCTCGTTAAAATCTGTTTTAAACATCCAAAATTGTGTTTTTGGATCGTTAAAAGCAGCTAAACTGAGAAGCTAAGCTACAAGCTAAGCTAACAAGCTGACCTTGGAAAAAAACCTCGGTCTTGTCGAAGCTCCAAAATTCACAGTTGAAACCCGTGCCTTCGTGTAAAAAGTTGTTTTTCTCTGCAAAAAGAAGCTGAGAACTTGTTTACTGATTTTTAATTTTTTTATGTGAAAAATGCTATGCTGAAGAACTCAAACAAGACTGAGCGTCCGCCATTTTGAGAACTAAAAACAAGGAAGGAGAGACAGCCCATGTCATGTCAAGGGGCTCCCTCCCATTTTTCTTAAAGAGACGCTGCTCATTCCCTCACTATCCATCCTTCGGTTCAAACAATCTTATTCTGCCATCTGGTGGTCAAAAAAGATGCTACATGCAAAAACAAATTAACCAACATTTCTTCTTAAATTTGACAATAATGACTAATTATTGTCAAATTTCAAACAATATTATTGTTTATCGCAATAATTTCTGAGACAATCACCTAGCGAATTTTGTTATCGTGACAGGCCTAGTATTTACTGTAGTAGTAGTAAGCAGTAGTTTATTTTAGTATTTATATACAGGCATTTTAAACCCTTCCCACACTCTTGCAGTGTTCTAAACTCTTAAACCTATATAATTTTAACAACATACAGAACTGTATATGTAGCTACAAGATTTTATTTAACAAGCTCTGCAGAACAGGAGCGACTCTGTTCAATTTGGTCCAACTGTTCTGTTTTTGCAGCCGTACCATTCAGCAACCCACAATCAATTGATGTTCTAAACTCTTAATCCTACTCATTTTAACAACAAAATATAGCTAATAAATTTTACTTACTCGGAAGTCCTCGTCAGCCAGTTGAAAGAGTTGAAAAAAGTCCTGTTAAGTTTCAGATGGACAACCGGTTCATCAACTGTGCGGGTCCTGCTCAGGGCTCCTCGTTGGCTGGGTGAAACAGATGAATAAAGTCCCGTTAAGCTCCGGATGGATCACCGGATCATCGGATATGCGTGTCCCGCTGAGGGCTCCTTATGGGCCGGTTGAAAAAGATGAAAAAAGTCCTGATGGGCTCCAGACGGAGTGCCGGACCTTTGGCCTCACGTGTTTGCTCAGAGGTGTGCGGGCTACCAGCTCTCAAGATTCACAGATGGGTCTGGAAGTCTGGTTTTCATCCGTGGGCGCTGAAAAGATCAAAAGTTTACTGTACCTCTTCTTTTTTTCAGCAGAAGGAAGCAGGGCTTCTGGGCGGGGCCCTGTTGCCTTCTGGGAAATGTGGTCATTATGAGCGGGAATGTACAGTGAAGGGAAAACTACAAAATGGTGGCAACTGTCCGAAATATTTTATTTTTTCGTTAACTTTTTACTGTACAATACAGTATCCAGTACTGTCCCAACCACGTGAGTAATAATTAATTACTTGGTAATTTTTATTTTGGTCCAATATTGTATATTATGGACTGTACGTTCACAAACTGTGATAGAGCAAGTCCGCGATAGTCGAACCGCCAAGTAGCGAGGGACTACTGTATTCTGTTCCATTGTGATTAAAGTATGGGTTCATAAATTCATTCATAAATTCACTTATTGCACAATGCCCCAGTTTTCTTTTAAATAATAGGGGTTGTATACAAATTCTAAAATCATGCATTTGAACAGTGCACACACAAAAAAAGAAAAAGAAAAGAAACTCTTACAGTCAGACGTCGTCCATCTGCAGCCGCTTTAACAAAAAAAAAAAACACCCGAATTGTTCGCTCACGCTTGTAAATTCAGAAATTTCCAGAGCTGGTCAGTCTGAGATACTCCCCACATAAAAAGCAGACCTCACCAGATTTTATTGGGCTTTACAAAACTGATAATGGAACAAGAAACGACAGACATCCCTTAGATTTGATATAAACACTGTCTAGATAATTTGCCCTTTCAGGAAATAATTTATATTCAGCAGTGAAGATGTTCTAAAAAGCTGAACATATAAAATAGTCATTGAGCTTATAGAGGAACCTCCATCAATTTACCAATGAAACTGTAGGCATCACAGATTCATTATTATATTAGACTTCCTGATTTCCAAAAACTAAATACAGTGAAGTTTCTATATAACTGCTGCATTGCAGAGCCTTTCTTTGTAGTCAGAGAATTCAGCAGGAATTAGATTTAAACAATTAAAGCATTCATTTAAGGAATCCCTGCCATCTTCCATACCAAAGATTTAAATGAAGATCTTGTCAGAGCTTCAAGAAAATATTAAGGATGACTCTCAGCTATTACCACACCGAACTTCTGCTCCATATTTGTAAAAATGATCGTGTTTTAGCCAGATGTGTTTGCTAAAGTCAATTAGCTGTGGCAGCCAACTAAATCCAGTTGACTCTTTAAGTGACAGTTTATATCCAATCATTACGTTCTGAGAGTTTCTTTAAAATCTGTCCAGTGGTTTGTGAGATATTATGCTAACAGACAGACACATGAACACACACGGGTAATTACACGATCTCCCTCTTTTCATGGCACTGGGACATCTTGATCAAATTGATTTCATCTGAATGATTTCTGTGGCCTAAATGAACGACAGATGCGTTTTTGTCGTCTGTTTTTACATCGTTCTCACTGTTGAGATCCATTTTTCTTCCATATGTTTCTCGGGCCGTAACTCATTCCACAGTTTTTATTCTACTGTTTTTGTTTAACTTTTTAAAATATTTATCTTTGATTTTCTCATTGAAAATGAGTGGCGCTCTTCACATCCTTCAAGCTCTCTGCCGTTTGAAACCTTTTAATGCTCATTTCAGCTTTTGCTCTGCTTCAGCTTTTTTTTTTTTTTTAGCTTCTTTGTGCTAATTTTAGCTTCTTTCACATGTTTTTTCTACATTTTCAGCTATTTTATGTATTTTTCTGCTAATTTTAGCCATTTTCAGCTGTTTTTAGGGCTTATTTCAACCTTTTATGCTGCTCTTAGCCTCTTTCTACTTTATCTTTTTTGGGGGGCTTTTATTTTGTTGGTTAATTTCTGCCTTTTTCTACTAATTTCAGCTTTTTTTTGCCTTTTCAACAATTTTTATCCTGCTAACTTCAGCTTTCTCTACAAATTTCTACCGATTTTCTCCTGTTTTCTGCTTTTATTTTCCTACCTTCAGCACATATCAGCTGTTCAAATTCAATTCTCATTAATAGTTTAGCGATGAAACCTTTTCAGCCTGGTTTGAACTTCTTTAGCAGCTTTCAGCAAAAATCATTCAGCAATAAGCATTTACTCTAGACTTTTGCTGGAAATGCAATTTCTCTAGTTTACCTTTATTACCAACTCGTGTCTCTTTGCGTCTCTGTGTTTAAATCAGGACGCAGAGGTTTCATCCTTGCTACTTTCACAAAGGACCTTCATATCCATTTTTGTTTCCACGGAGGCTACGTTGTGTCTGAGCCTTCACTAATCTCACAGTCTTCAAGGCTACAGCCGTTTGAACTTTACCAACATCTCCTCCTCCCTCCACAGTCCACTTTAATAAATCTTCTCACTCTTGTAATACTCAAACATATAGAATACAAGATGAGGAGCAACTCGTCTGGACTTTGGAAACTTTTGGGAGGTTCAAGGTCAGGCTCAGCTGTCAGTAACGAGGCAGACAGTTTCACAAGATAAACTGAAGATGGAAGTTTTAAAAACAAGACAATTAAAGGATAGCATTCCTTAAAGGACGGCACATCACATCTAGTTTTAGACTAAGATTGTTTTATGTTGAGAAGGAAAAGAGTCCTGGTTGTTTTGGTCGTAACTTGAAGATGATATGTGAGATCTTGCAAGGTGTGTTAGAGTAGGAGTGTCCAAAGTGCTGTCTGAGGACCATTTGTGGCTCTTCAAGTGATTTTGTGCGACCCACGATTGCAATTTAAGAATGGCATAATTTTGGCCTGGAGCCTTAAGAGGCTGATGCAGATGTAGACCTTTTGCAGATTTAATGGTGAAACTTTTTAAAATATACTTCTTAAGTATAACAGTGAAACAAATGAAAAAGAACTAGTTAAAATGAGCAATATTGAGTATAATACAAAACTTTGGCTATAATTACTCCAATATATACAGTATGTATTTACCCATTTCATGTTATAAAGCACAGTAAGCCTTTAAAAGTAAAAAAAAAAAAAGCCATAAAAAAGTAGACTTTTGGATAATCATTCATAAAACTTGGCTAAACATATCAAGTGTAGATATTTAAAGGACTATAAAGTGACATCACATGGACTATAAAGTGACATCACATACAAGTTGGGCAATTGTGTCCCTTCAAAACCTTCAATTAATGTGGTTTATCAACTGCCAGCTGTACGATTTTTTGCTACTTCGATCACTTTTGGCCAACCATCAACCAAAAATGGTAATCAGTCCCCTTTTAGAGACTGTTTTTAAAGAACATATCCAGTGGTCCCTTGTTTATTGTGGGTGTTTGGGACCACCCCCACCCACGATAAGTGAAAAACCGCGAAGTAGGGATACAATAATCCAAGTTCAGTTCGAGTTCAGTAAACTTTGACATGACGTGCCAGGTAGCAATCACACTCACTCATCACCTGTTATTCCATATATACACAAATATGTACATATACAGTACACTCACACACACACACACACACACATATATATATATATATATATATATATATATGCACACACACACAGAGATTCTTTCCAAAAAATTAGAATAACATGGAAAAGTTGTTAAACTTCCATACATCCATTCAAAAAGTTAATCTTTAATAGATGATAGATTCAGGGCCCACAATTTAAACAATTTCAAGAATTTATTTGTTTATTTTTACATAATTTGGGCTTCCAGCTGATGAAACCCACAAAAACAAGATTTCAAAAAAATTAGAAAATCGTGAAGACATCAGCCCGCACTACTCAGTTTTTGCAAAAGAAAGAAATTAGGATCACAACAAATCAATCAAAATATGGTACTTTCAAAACGATATGTCAATCTTCAATACTTGGTTGGGAGTCCCTTTCCCTTTATTACTGCCTCGATGTGATGTGGCACTGAGGCAATCAGCCTGTGGCATTACCTGGGAGTTATGGATTTCCTTGATGCTTGCTGTCAGCTCTTTGTTGTTGGGTCTGGTGCTCCTCATTTTCCTCATGAGAATACCCCATAGATTCTCAATGGGGTTTAGGTCCGGTGAGTTGGCTGGCCAGTCAAGCACTGTGGCATGGGCATCAAACCAGGTTTTGGTGCTTCTGGCGGCATGAGCAGGGGCCAGGTCCTGCTGGAAGATGAAATCTGCATCTCCATGCAGATCCTCAGCAGAAGGAATCATGAAGTCCTCTAAAACATTCTGGTAGACCGTTGCGGTGACCTTGGATTTAAGAAAGCAGATTTTACCAACACCTGCACCGGACATTTCACCCCAAATCATGACTGACTGTAGATATTTCACACTGGACCTCAAGCAGTATGGGCTCTGTTCCTCACCCTTCTTCCTCCAAAACCTTGGACCTTGATTTCCAAATGAAAGGCACACTTTACATTCATCAGAAAAGAGGACCGAGGAACCCGACAGTTGTAGCCCATCTCCCGGATGCGTCTGAATGTGGTGGTTTTTGAAGCTGTGACTCCCGCCTCATTCCACTCTTTCTGGATCTCTGCCAGATTATGGAATCTTCTCTGTTTGATAATCCGCTGAAGCTCACAGTCATCTCATTTGCTGGTGCATCTTCTCCTGCCACATTTTGCCCTTCCACTAGACTTTCCGTTGATATGCTTGGACACAGCACTCTGTGAACAGCCAGCCTCCTTAGCTATGAACTTTTGTGTCTTACCCATCCTATGGAGGGTATCAATGATGGTCTTCTGGCCAGTTATGTCTGCAGTCTTCCCCATATTGAACCAAACTGAGACAATTGAACCAAACTGAAGCAATTTAATGACACCTGGGGAAACCTGTGCATTTGCTTTGAGTTTAGTAGATGATTAGTGTGTCACACTCAGTTTAAAACTTTCATGCTCTGCAACATTTGGGCTGATTTCTCCACAGTATTCTAATTCTTTGAATTCCTGTTTTCGTGGGTTTCATGAGCTGGAAGCCCAAATTATGTAAAAATAAACAAATGAATACAAAC